TCTTAAAAAAAGAAAAAGAAAAAGGACCAACTAGAAATTAAACATACACTGACTGAAATAAAAAATATTATACAGAAACCTAAGAGCAGACTAGAGGATCGCAAGAATCAAGTCAAAGATTTGAAATACAAATAAGCAAAAAACACTCAACCGGAAAAAAAGAAAGAAAAAAAGAAAGAAAAAAAAATATTTGAAGATAGTGTAAGGAGCCTTGGGACAACCTCAAGCATACCAACATCAGAATTATGGGGGTGCCAGAAGGAGAGAGCAAAATACTTAAAACCTATTTGAAGAAATAATGACTGAAAACTTCCCCCACATGGTGAAAGAAATAGACTTACAAGTCCAGGAAGCACACAGAACCCCAAACAAAAGGAATCTAAAGAGGACCACACCAAGACACATCATAATTAAAATTCCAAGAGCAAAAGACAAAGAGAGAATATTAAAAGCAGCAAGAGAAAAGCAGTTAATTATCTACAAGGGAGCACCCATAGGATTGTCAGCTGATTTATCAACAGAAACTATGCAGGCCAGATGGGAGTGGCAAGAAATATTCAAAGTGATGAATAGCAAGAACCTACAACCAATATTACTCTACTCAGCAAAGTTATCATTCAGAATTGAAGAGCAGATAAAGAGCTTCACAGATAAGAAAAAGCTAAAGAGTTCATCAATACCAAACCAATATTATATAAAATGCTGAAGGGTATTCTTTAAGAAGAGGAAGAAATAAAAGGTAAAGATAAAAATTATGAACAATAAATACATATCTATCAACAAGTGAATCTAAAAATCAAGTGAATAAAAAAATCTGATGATCAGAATTGGTGAATATAATAGAATCAGGGGCATAGAAAGGGAGTGGACTGACAATTCTCGGGGGGAGGGGGGAGGGATGTGTGGGTAAAGGAAGAGACTGGACAAAAATCGTACACCTATGGATGAGGACAGTGTGGGGGAGGTAAGGGCAGAGGGTGGGGTGGGAACCAGGTGGAGGGGGCTATGGGGGGAAAAAAGAGGAACAGTTGTAATAATCTGAACAATAAAGACTTATTAAATTAAAAAAATATATATATTTTAAAACCCCCACAAAATCATGTGTTTTTTTCTTTTTTGTTTTTTTCAAAATCATGTTTTGAAATGCATACAATAAAATATACTGCATTATAAAAGGACTGCTAATATTGAAATGCAAATATTCTATATAATAAAAGCCTAACCTGCTAAGTGTCCCATCCATCCGTTCAACCAAAGTGTAATATGGTAATGAAATACGTAGGGCACTCAACTGCTGGCTTTGACATGCACTGACCATCAGGGAGCAGAAAGCTAACCAGTCGCTATGATATACAACTGACCACCAGGGGCCACACACTCTGACTTAGCTTGCTGCTGTGGTCCGGCAGATTGGGCCAGACACGCCCTGGAGCCCTGCCGTGGCCGGCCAACCTCCCGCATCCCTCCTGGCCCCGGTCGTGCTCCAGCGGGGTCCCTAGGCCTGGCCTGGGCTCTCTCGCAATCCGAGACCCTTTGGGGGATGTCAGAGAGCCAGTTTCGGACTCATCCCGCAGGTCAGGCCGAGGAACCCCACTGGTGCACGAATTCATGCACTGGGCCTCTAGTCAAAATATAAAAAGTTATGACATTATAAGATACAGAGGTAGGACTAATAAGGACCAGAACCAGCAGGTAGCAGTGGGCATGAGACTGCTATTTTGAGGTGTGCGCAGCACCTGCAGCGAGTATGAAAACCCTGGTGATTTTGTTAGGGGGCAAAATAGATACTGGGACTAGCTATGGTTATGGGAAATATCAATCACGCTCTGTTAACCATGATTGCCTTGTTCTGGTTAAAGAAAGGACATGCTAACCTGGCTGGGAGTTGTATGCCCTCAGACCTGGAAGACAACCTTGGAACGTGGTCTATTCTCAATCAAGAACTGCCTATTATCATGGAAAGATTAACCACCTTATTGCCCAAACAATGGAGTCCCACATTGCCTCCTCCCCCATGCTTGTAATTTCTACTTCCCCACCTAGTCTTTGTCTTACCCTATAGAAGCAGCTGGCTTGTGGGGGTGCTAGAGAGATTTTGTGGAAGACCTGCTGCTCTCCCATGCTGCTGACAGTATTGGAATAAACACTCGTATGTGACTCAACCCTGTCTCTGCTCTCTGCTTAACTGGCTCAAGTAGTGACAGGCGACCCAGGCCCATGGGTTGTCCGGTGTCAATTTCTGTGTGATAGCCACAAGTATTGTGAATTCTGCTGGACTTTGCTGCCTCCGTTCACAACTCAAGGAAATAAATTTCAGTTAAAGGTTAGTGATTTTTTTTTTCTCTCATCAAAGTTGGATTTTTTTTTAAATTTTTTTTTCCTCATCTCAGCTCCTGGAGCTCCCAACCCTGGGTCCTTGGGCCAAGGTGAAGAACCGGTGAAGGGTGGGACCTCCCGGCTGTCCCCGAGTCTCCAGGAGGCAGTGTGGCTAGAGGCAGACATGCGATCCCCACACAAAGGCCCTGGCACTCTGCGGGAAGCAAGAACCAAGGAGGAAGGGCCTCCGCTGGGTCTGGAGAGAAGACGGGACTTTCTGCGCCCCTCTGGCTCCCCTTCCCTCCTGGGTGGCAGGGTGACAGGCAGAGTTCACTGCCTAGAAGTGCCCGAGGGAATTGGGTGGCAGGAGGCCCTGAGGAGGTCACTGCAGAAGGGCACAGGGAGCTGAGGAAAACGGCCAGGAGCCAGACAGCACTGCGGTTTCCAAGGATAAAGTTGGGGTGCAGAGGCTCTGGGACGGAGGGCCGGTGAATGCCTGCAACGGGCCTTCCCTCACTGTGGCGTCACTTGTGCAGGCCCTGGGGACAGAGCCTCTCTCCATGACACCCCCTCTCCAGCCCCCTTCCAGAGGGAGCACCCGGTTTCCTCCAGGATGCCCCTTCTCAGTTAGGGTGCAATCCTGGCAGGACAGTCAGGCCTGGTGCCCAGCCAAGCGGCGGGTGCGTGGCCCGGAGAGCCCCTCCTGGGATTCTGATGGGGTAGGGGGAGCAGCCTGGTTGGCAGGGTCTGGAAAGACTGCCCTCACTCTCGCGGGCCTGGACCCTATGGTTGCCCAACCAGCCATCAGTTTGAGGCCCCCTTCAGGCTCCGCACGCCAGCCCCTCCCCATTCCCCATCACTTCCCAGAGGCAACCTCCCCTGCCCTGGGCATCCAGTTGGGACAGAGGCCCTGCATCTCCGGCGTCTTATTCCTCCCTGGGAGCCACCCATCTCCGCTCCGCCCACAGGCAGAGGCAGGGGGCGGGGACTCGGAGCTTCCCGAACTTTAGTAACTGACCGGCCATCTCCTTGACTTTTACTGGTTTTGTTTCCTTAAACCAACTCATTTTAAACGTCAACACATATTTAGGGGGGAAATGAAACCCTTGGATCACAGCCCAAGTGAAAACCATGATCCCTTGCCACACACAGAAGACACCTGTGAGAACGGGGACACACAGCCTCCGGAGGCTGCCAGCCGCGGGCCCTTCCTCAGCCCGAACGGCCGCAGGGAGCGGCCTCAGTCCGGCCTGGTCAGGCCTCCGCGGCCGCCTCCCCGCTCCCCGCAGACTCCTCTCTGCGAGGCCAGTGCCCGGCCCGCTCCCAGCGCCCGCCCGCCCAGTGCAGGCCGGGCTGGAGGAAAACAATGCCCAGCACCTCCCAGCCCGCCCCATGCCCGCCCATGTCTCCCCATGCCCGCCCCCATGCCCGCCCCCATACCCCCCCATGCCCGCCCCATACCCGCTCCCATGTCTCCCCTTGTCCGCCCCCATGCCCCCCCCATGTCTCCCCTTGTCCGCCCCCATACCCCCCCATGCACCCCCATGCCTCCCATGTCCGCCCCCATACCCCCCCCATGTCCGCCCCCATGCCCGCCCCATGTCTCCCCATGTCCGCCCCTATACCCCCCCATGTCTCCCCCAGGCCCGCCCCAATGCCCGCCCCCATCTCCCCCCCATGCCCGCCCCCATACCCCCCCATGTCCGCCCCCATACCCCCCCATGCCCGCCCCATGCCCCCCATGTCTCCCCATGCCCGCCCCCATGCCCGAAAGGCCCCGCGGTCCTCGCAGCCGATGCCAGGAGCCAGGACTGTGAGGGGTGGTGCTCAGGCTCCCAATGCCGCCCAGAGCCGGGCTGCCTGACCCCTGTGGCCGGCCCTCCCCGGCCCCCAGAGCCGGGCTGCCTGACCCCTGAGGCCGCCCCTCCCCGGCCCCCAGAGCCGGGCTGCCTGACCCCTGTGGCCGGCCCTCCCCGGCCCCCAGAGCCGGGCTGCCTGACCCCTGAGGCCGGCCCTCCCCGGCCCCCAGAGCCGGGCTGCCTGACCCCTGTGGCCGCCCCTCCCCGGCCCCCAGCGGGCCGCCCGGACGGTACGGGACAAGGGGGCGCCCCCGAGTAAGGGGACAGGGCGCTGGCCGTGGGGGGCCGAGAGCCCGTCACCCGAAGGCTGTGCCCGCCGCCGGCCCACCCGCGCCTGGTCACTGCCCAGCACCGCACACGCCACCTCCTTTCTCCCGGAAACACCCACGTCCCTTTTTACCAACTGGAGCGCCTCTGCCCAACGCCTTCATCTGCGGCCCGAGGCCGGCGCTGGGGCCGCCGCGGGGGTGCGGCGGGACTGAGCCCCGGGCGGAGCGGCGCCGGCTCCACCCCCCGCCTGGGCCCGGGCCCGAGGCCCCGAGCAGCGGACGGTCCGCCGACAGGAACCGCCGCGCAGCGGCCGGCGGGCCCGCCTCACCTGCGGGCCGGACTCGGCGCCCCGCCTCCGGAGCGGGCGGCGGCGATGCTGCGGCCCCTTTAAGCCGGGCCGCCCCGCCCCGCGCTCCGACTCCGCGCCCGGATCCAGGCCGGGCCGCGCTCCGCCGCCCAGTGCAGCCCGCCGCCGGCCCGCGGAGGAAGGCCCGGCGCCCGCGCCCGGAGGAGCCGTCCAGCCCGCCCGCCCGGGCCCCGCCCCGCCCACCCCGGGGCCGGGGCCCCGCCGCCTCCGGCCCGCCCGGCCCCGCTCCCGGGCCATGCGGCCTCGGCCCCGCCGGCGCCCGCCGCGCACCCGGGGAGATGCGGCTCCGCAATGGCCCCTTCCTGACGCTGCTGCTCCTCTGCCTGTGCGCCCTCCTCTCGCTGTCCTGGTACGCGGCCCTCGGCGGCCAGAAAGGTGAGCCCGCCGCGCCCGCACCTGGGCGCCGGCCGCCCGGGGGGCGGGGGTCGCGGCCGGAAGCGGCGGGCCCTTCCCCTCGCGGCGCGGGGGCCCTCCCGCCCTCCCCCGCTCGCCGCTGCGGGAACAACAAACTCCCGGCGCCCGGAAGGCCGGGTGGCCGCGGCGAGCCCGCGGTGCCGCTCGCGCGCGGACCCGCCTCGGGAGCGCAGTTGCGCCCTTGGTACCTGGGCACCTGGGGGCTTCAGGGACCGGCTGCAAGGCCACGGCGCCGTGCCCCGTGGTGCCCCAGGAGCCCGGGCACCTGCGCCGGAGGAAGCACTGTGCTCCTGAGACAGGTGTGAGGGACCGCGGACACCCAGACAGCGGCTGTCCCTCACCCCACCCTGCTTGCATGGTCACACCCCCTGCCCGGGCTGCTCCTGGGGTGCCCGCCGCCCGCCTCCTGGACCAGTGGCCCCAGCACTGCTCCGCGGGCCCGGGGTGGGGGCAGCCTTCCGGGGCTGCCGGCCCAGGAGTGCCCGGAGGACCTCATGAGCAGCCAGCCCAGCCCGCACCCATGAACTCCCTTTGTGTGGTCTCACCCCTCCTGCAGTTCGGCCAAGCTGCTCACCCGCCCCGGAGGCCCTGTGGATCTGGTCGGCCCTTGGGAGTGGGAGGTGGGGGAGGCGGGCTCCAGACTGGCTGGTGTGGGTCAGGATGGCGGGGGCTGAGGAGGCCCTACAGCCCTCATCCGTCCAGCCTGCAGCCCCGAAGCCACCAGGAAAAGGCGGCTTCCTGCCTGCCTCCTGGCCTCCTGCCTCCTGCCTCCTGGCCTGCCTGCAGAGGCTTCGCAGGATCAGGCTGAGGTCAACTGAGCCTCTGCTCCCTCCACTTCCGGCTTCCCTGTCCCCCCCTCCCCCCCCCACACACACACCCACACACGGAATGGAGCTGGGGGAGGAGCTAGAACCTTCCTGACCCTCGGCCCCAGCAGCCCTCCCACCTGCCCCTGCCTGCCCGCTCGCCCGCCCACTGCAATCCTCCCTGCAGTCCTCCCGTGTGGGTGAGGCCAGGGGCCCTGAGGGGGTACCCCTAGGACTGCAGAGCTCTCTCTGGGTCTCCACGGGGAAGGGGGTGTCACCTGGGGGAGAGCTTGGCGCACACTTGTCCGACTGTGGTGGAGTGATGAGCGGACACCCTGTCCTGGCCAGGGTAGTTCCTGTCCGCCTCCTGCGCAGCCGCGTGCCCTCAGCCCACCAGTGTCCCGGGCAGCAGTGTGGGGTTCCAGTGGCTCCATTTAGGGCTCACACTCCCTGAAGGGGCATCGGGGAGACTGGCACTCAAGGCCCCGGGGAGTGTGAGAGCACCTTCAGCCAAAGAATTGTGGGGCTCAGATGCAGGGACCATCAACCCTGGGGCACGGAAGCCAAGGAGCCTTGGGCATGGTGAGGTGTGACTGGGCCTTGCACTGTTTCTGGGCGCCCAGTAGGGCCAGATCTTCAGAGCCTCAAGAGAAGCCTGATCCTGAGCTCTTAGGTGACCCCTTTTCTCACTCACAGACAATGGTTTAAGCCTGTGGAGGAGCCAGGCTGAGCCAGGCTGAGGCCATAGGGTCCCGGCTTCCATCTGAGCGAGTGAGGAGCTCAGGATAGGGTGGCTGGGCACTGGTACTTGGGGGAAGGCCAGCGGAGCCTGGTCTGTAGAAGGGAGGAGGCGGGCAGGTGGCCAGAGAGGAAGGCGGCAGCAGGAGAAGATGGACCCTGCATGCCAAGGGCCAGGAAGGAGGTGCAGGCCTTGGCGAGATGGGCCCTGGCTGTGGGTTCACATCCAGCCTTGACCACATCAGTGACCAGCGCTGTTAGCGCTGTCACTGCAGCTCAGCCACGTGCTGTGAAAGCCTCTCCCAGGGAGGACAGCAGCCAGGGCCAGCTTCCGCACCTGTGCTTCAGCAGTGGGAGTCCGTGTGTGTGTGTGTGTGTGTCCCGGAGCATGGGACAAGTGCTGGAGGGAATGCTCACTGCCCCCCACCCTGGCCCCCCGCTGTTAACACACCTGCCCGGCCCTCTGAGCCTGCTTCCCCTCCCTGAGCCTGGGCGAACGGTCTGTGTCTGCAGCCACGTGGGGACTACAGGGAGACTGTGGTCATGGGCCTCAGGTGTGCTATTCTCTGCCTTTCGGTGGGAAAACCTCCAATAGCATGGCCACAGCTGCAGTCCTTCCTGGGGCCGGCTGTACCAGGCCAGATCCCACCCCATCTCCCCGGGGTAAGGAGGTGTGGAGAGCAGGAGACACCAGGGCCCCTCAGCCCTCGCTCCCAGAACCAGGGCTCCCAGACCTTTGCCCTTCCCATCAATTGAGCTGCCTTCCCAGCCACTCGCCACCTCAGTCCAACCACCCAGCCCTTGCAGGTTGTGTGGTGCGGGGCCTGGCAGCACTCTGGCTAAGGCTCAGCACCTGGACAGGCAGTCACCAAGCTTGAGGTTCTGGCTTTGACAGGCGAGGACAAGTTGGGCCCACAAGCGAGAAGCTGGGGACCTTGCAGGCAGCAGGCAGTGCAGAAGCAGGGGCAGGTGCTGAGGGACCAGGGGGGCTGCTGAGGGATGGGGTCAGCGTTCAGGGGAATGAAACCAGGCCCTGGTACCCACAGCCCACTCCTTTAGTAAGTGGAGGACGTTCAGGCCCTGGGCAGAGGGAGGCCACTGGGAAGGGCAGCCGCGGTATGGAGCGGGCTGTGCCAGGCCTTGGTAGTCGGCGATTCAAGGCAACAGTGCCCACCGCTGCCTACCCAGCCTGTCCGCCAGGGGAGGCTAAGGTTGGACAGAGCTCAGCCTACTTAAAGAGAGGGGGGAGGGGGTGGCAGAGGCAGCAGTCAGAGGTGTGAGGCCTCCCACAGCCCCCTACTTCACAAAGGGCCCCCCTGCCCTGGTGTGGGCAGCCAGGGCCATAGGGAAGTGGGCAGGGCCTCAGCAGGAGGAAGGCCACCTGCTACGTCCAGGTGGCTGAACTGCTTCTGCTGGGCCGGGCAGCTCCTGTTCACGGGTTCAGATTTCCAGGGTAACCTGGCCCTAGAGCCCAGTGCGGACCTGGAGATCCCGTAACCTGACCAGCCTCTGCCCTCCCCACCGGAGTGGGCCAGCTGGGGATGGAGGCTCCAGAAGTAGTAGTGTCCTGAGGTGGCTGCAATGTTTTAAGATACATTTTTATTGATTTCAGAGGAAGGGAGAGGGAGAAAGAGATGGAAACATCAGTGATGAGAGAATCATTGATCAGCTGCCGCCTGCACGTCCCCTACTGGGGATCAAGCCCGAAACCTGGGCATGTGCCCTGACCAGAATGGAACCTGGGACCCTTCAGTCCACAGGCCAACGCTCTGTCCGCTGAGTCACACCAGCCAGGGCATGAGGTGACTGAAATTTGCCGTGGCTGTGGCCTCTGGTGCACACGGCTGTGGGGAGTGACACCATCTGGGAGCTGTGACCCCTCCAGGGGTTGGGGGTGGAAGAGCTGCCTGGGGTGGGAGCGGATTCCTGGGCTTGGAGACTTTTAAACCAGGCCTTGAAGGCCACACGGGTGTTCCTTTGGCAGGAGGAGGAAAGGGGTCGCAGGCAGAGGACGGCATGTGTGTGAGCATGGCCGTGGGCAAGGATGAGGAGTGCTGGAAGCAAAGGAAGGTGGTGCTGGTGAGACCAGACAGGCCTAGCCCACAGCCCTCCGGCCCGCTGTGCCCGCTGCCGTGGGGATGCTCTGGTCTCGTGCTTGCTCACCGGTCCCTGCCCAACCGGTGGAGCCAGGAGGTGCACCCCAGGGACCTCACCTGTGCTGCTCTCCGTGCACCCAACACCACTGGAGGTTCTCCACGGGCCTCCCGAGAAGCAGGCCTCAGGGCATCAGAAGTGGCCCCTCTGCTGCTGACCCACTGGGCGACCCTGGACTAGTTCTAGGCATCATTTGCTCATTTGAGCGCTTGGGGGCAGGAACAGCAGCCGCCAGCCCTGGGGCTGGTGTGAGACTGAGGGGATCCAGGTGTGGGTCCTGCTAAGAAACCCCTTGAGGAAGGGCTGGGTCTTTGTGCCCTGGATGGCGCCTTTGGTTGTCCCAGCCCTGGCAGGAGCAGATCTGCCAGGAGAAGCCAGAGGGCGGAAAAGGATTCAGCCTGAGGCTGTCCCAGCCCCTGCTTAGGGATGCCCCACGCGGGCTGGGAATGGTCCTGAAGCCCTCCCGCTCAGATCCCTCCTGGAAGGAGAAAAGCCTGGGGGAGGAGAGAGGACTGGAGAGTGCTACCCCACCCCACCCCCAGCCTTTCTCCCCCAGGTGTGTCAGTGTGACTTCAAAGTGACCCTGTGCAACCTCCGAAAACTCCCCTGTGGCAGGCACGGGAACAGGTGTAGCTGGTCCGTGGCACAGATGGGCACAGATGTATGCACTGGCTCCCTCCCCGGGCTGTAGGTAGCTCTAGGCCGCCCCCTGGTGACAGCTTGCGGACCGCCCTCAGGTGACGTGGTGGACGTGTACCAGCGCGAGTTCCTGGCTCTGCGCGACCGGCTGCACGCCGCCGAGCAGGAGAGCCTCAAGCGCTCCAAGGAGCTCAACCTGGTGCTGGACGAGATCAAGAGGGCCGTGTCCGAGAGGCAGGCGCTGCGGGACCGCGACAGCAACCGCACGTGGGCCAGGCTCACCGGTGAGGCCGCCGGCGACCGGGAGGCGGGGCTGCTGGCGGGCCTCCCCCTCTGCCCCCGGGCTGACCGTCCTTTCCCCGGCCCTCGCAGAGGACCCGCGCCTGAAGCCGTGGAACGCCTCGCAGAAACATGTGCTGCACTTGCCTTCGGTCTTCCACCACCTGCCGCACCTGCTGGCCAAGGAGAGCAGCCTGCAGCCGGCCGTGCGCCTGGGCCAGGGCCGCACCGGAGGTGGGCGGGGCCTCGGGGAGGTGGGCGGGGCCGCGCGGAGGTGGGCGGGGCCGCGGGCCGGCGCTGGGCGGGCGGCGTGGCCAGGCCTGAGGACCGCTCTCCGCAGTGTCGGTGGTGATGGGCATCCCCAGCGTGCGGCGCGAGGTCCACTCCTACCTGACGGACACGCTGCACTCGCTCATCTCGGAACTGAGCCCGCAGGAGAAGGAGGACTCGGTCATCGTGGTGCTGATTGCTGAGGTGAGTGGGCGGGCGCGGGGCGGGGGCACCGCACGGAGGACACCTGGCACCGATGACTGGAAGGAACACTCCGAGGGGAGAGCTATCAGAAGTTCCCCATCATTCACTGACTTATCCAGACAAAAAGTTAAGAGACATGTCAGCGCCCCCTCGTGGAGATGCCATTCACCTACTGTGCCCCACCCGGGTGCCTACCCAAGGGCTTTTCTCTGCGGCCCCTGTGACCCCTGGCCCAGCCTCACTCGGCCCTCAGGATCCGGGCTCACTCCCTCTGAGGCCCACACCCCTATCCCCAGCCCTTCTTCCGGGCCATTCGGGCAGCGGCCCTGCTGAGGGTGCTGCTTGTCTCCCCGCAGACTGACCCGCAGTACACCGCGGTGGTGACGGAGAACATCAAGGCCTTGTGAGTACCGGCAGCTGGAAGAGCTGGTGGAAGGAGGGCCCTTGTGGCGTATTGGGTCAACAGATCCTCCTCCCAAGACAGGGACCTCTGGGAGGGTGCGCCCCTGCGGGCTTGTAGAGGTGGCCCAACCCCTCCAAGCCCCACGCCTCAGTGGTGCCTCCTAGTGGGCCTTCAGCAAGGGACAGGGTCTGCTGGCTCTGCTCTGCCCCTGCTCCGGGCCCTGGAGACACGCCCCCTCTGGCCTTCCTGTCCCCCAGGTTCCCCACAGAGATCCATTCCGGGCTCCTGGAGGTCATCGCCCCTTCCCCACACTTCTACCCTGACTTCTCCCGGCTCCGCGAGTCCTTTGGGGACCCCAAGGAGAGAGTCAGGTACTAGCGCTGCCCGTTCCAGCTCCCCCAGCACCCTCCTCTCGCCTGCTGAGAGCCCAGGCTGCTGGCTGTAGTGCCTCCCCTTCTGCACTGGAGGACCCTGCGGGAGAGGGAGGAGGGGTGCGGTGAGTGTGCCGGGGTAGCTGTGCCAGAGGAGGATTCTGAGCTCCGAGGCGGCCCTGGCCCACAGGTGGAGGACCAAACAGAACCTCGATTACTGCTTCCTCATGATGTACGCGCAGTCCAAAGGCATCTACTACGTCCAGGTCAGCACCGCCCTGCTCGGCTCCCCCGAGACCTGGGGGGCCCGGGAGATGCATGCCGCCCTGCCGTGTGCCATCCTGAGTCCCAGGCCCTTCTCCCCTCCCGGAGCAGCTGGAGGACGACATCGTGGCCAAGCCCAACTACCTGAGCACCATGAAGAACTTCGCTCTGCAGCAGCCGTCCGAGGACTGGATGATCCTGGAGTTCTCCCAGCTGGGCTTCATTGGTGGGACCCCCCTCCGTCCCATGACCTGAACAGAGCCCCTCAGTCGTCGTCCCCACCCCCCTACCTCTGTCATAACCCTGACCCATAGCCCATGCCCTGCAACTTCGTGTTGGCCTGAAGTGGCCACTGGAGCCACAGCTGGCCTCTTCCCACCTGCCCTCAGAGTCACCGTCAGTGTCTGACCCCTGGTGCCCACACCTGCCTGCAGCTGGGGGACCTCCCTAGTGGTCCCACAAGGATTAAGAGGAAGCAGGGCAGGCAGAGCTGCCTGCTCAGCACCGCACCCGCTTCCCCACCAGGGAAGATGTTCAAGTCACTGGACCTGAGCCTGATTGTGGAGTTCATCCTCATGTTCTACCGGGACAAGCCCATCGACTGGCTCCTGGACCACATCCTGTGGGTGAAGGTCTGCAACCCGGAGAAGGACGCGGTGAGCAGGGCTGCAGAGGCGGCCGGGCGGTGGACAGGCACCTCCAGCGGGGACTGTCTGCGGGTGGGACTGTCTTCCGGTGGGGCATGAGCGCACTTAGATCGCTGCCTCCCTCCGCAGAAGCACTGTGACCGGCAGAAGGCCAACCTCCGCATCCGCTTCAAGCCGTCCCTCTTCCAGCACGTGGGCACGCACTCCTCGCTGGCGGGCAAGATTCAGAAGCTGAAGGTGGGCTGTGCCCCCGGGAGCCCGGGTGGGCCCGGGCAGCAGGGCCGGTCCGGGCGCCCCTGGCAGCGCTGTCTCTGGGCCTAGGACAAGGACTTCGGGAAGCAGGCGCTTCGGAAGGAGCACATGAACCCCCCGGCCGAAGTGAGCACGAGCCTCAAAACGTACCAGCACTTCACCCTGGAGAAGGCCTACCTGCGCGAGGACTTCTTCTGGGCCTTCACACCCGCTGCCGGGGACTTCATCCGCTTCCGCTTCTTCCAGCCGCTGCGCCTGGAGCGGTCAGTGCGGCACAGGCCCGGGGGAGGCAGGGCGGCACACGGGTCCCCGTGGGGGAGGCAGGGCGGCCACCAGAGTACAGGCCTCACCACAAACTCTGTGACCCCAGCAAATGAGTCAGCCCTCCCCTGCCTCAGTTTCCCTACCTGAAGAGGGGGTGCATAATGGCAGCTACCTTGTAAAGATGCCAGGCAGGGCCCCCAGGAGCTCCAAGACACTGCCATCATCCTCCTCCAGTGAGGAAGGCCTGGCTACCTTGCACAGCCAGTGGCTGCCCCGGGGGTGCCCAGCGTCGCCCAGCGCCCGGGCCCAAGCCTGGCCTTTCCTCTGCCGGGCAGCGTGCCTGGCAGCCCCGCCTGCAGGGCTCACAGGCCTGCCGGCCGCAGGTTCTTCTTCCGCAGCGGGAACATCGAGCACCCGGAGGACAAGCTCTTCAACACGTCCGTGGAGGTGCTGCCCTTCGACGTGAGTGCCGGGCGCGTGGGTGCCGGCGAGGCCGCCGTGCCCAGCCCTGGCTTCAGACCCTTGTTTTTGCCCCCAGAACCCCCAGTCAGACAAGGAGGCCCTGCAGGAGGGCCGCTCAACCACCCTCCGGTACCCGCGGAGCCCCGATGGCTACCTCCAGATAGGTGAGTGGGCTCAGGCAGGCCGAGGGGGGGAGAGGCTGGGGTCTCGGGACAAGCTCTCAGCACTGCCGTCCCCAGGCTCCTTCTCCAAAGGCGTGGCCGAGGGCGAGGTGGACCCGGCCTTCGGGCCCCTGGAAGCACTGCGCCTCTCCATCCAGACAGACTCGCCCGTGTGGGTCATTCTGAGCGAGGTGAGGCCAGGCGGGGCAGGGAGCAGGGAACACGGAGCTGCGTGGGGCCAGCTCTGTGCCCTGCTGACCCGGGCGGCTCTTGCAGATCTTCCTGAAGAAGGCGGACTGAGGAGGACTTCTGAGGACTGGCCCCCGACGCCAGGAGACCAGGATGTCTTCGCTGCTGCCCCCAGGGCCAGATGTGGCCCACCCGGCCTGAGGGTGCTCCTGGCACCTCTCAGCAGCTGGGGCTGCCGCTGGCGGGAGGCCCCAGGAGCTGGTGCTGCCCACCGCCCGGCCGCGGGAGGAGGTGGTGTCCCCACACTGTGCCTGAGGCCGGTCTGGCCGCCCCAACTGCTCGCAGCTGGCGGGGGGCTGGAGCCAGGCCGATGTAGAAGAGCTTTTCCTGGGCGCTCTCTGGCGCGAACACTGGAATGCATATACTACTTACGTGCTGTGTTTTTTATTCTTGGATACATTTGATTTTTTTCACTTAAGTCCACATATACTTCTATAAGAGCGTGACTTGTAATAAAGGGTTAATGAAGTGTGTGCCTCCTGCCCGGTGCTCCACTCCGGTTGGTGGGGGTGGGGAGCAGGCGCCAGATGGAGCCTCCTTGTGCCCACCTGCTGCCACCTCTGCACAACCCCGTTTCCTTGGCACTGTCCAGTCCAGGCCTGGGCCACCTTGAAGGGGAGGCTGCACAGAATCTGGGGCCCTGGCCCTCAAAAGCTGCCCTTCACAGGACCTCAAGCATGCCCCTCACTTCCTTCATCCACCCCAGCTGCCTGGGGTGGGGCCTCTAAACTGGTGGGGCATCCGCCACCTCGTTCCCTCTTCAAGGGCCTCGGCCCTGTCCTCGCCCCTGGGCCCAAGGCCTCCATCACCTCCCCACCGTCTCTGACACATTTTGGGGACTCCCGCCCACTTCTGGACCTTTGCATACATTTTCACCCTGAGAGCTCCTCCCCTGCCGACTGGACCTCAAGTCACTCCTGAGGGCCGTTATTTTCGGCCGGTGGGTCCTCCCGGAGTCGACCCTCAAGGCGCCTACCACGTTCGCCATCCACCCCCTCCAGCCCCTCTTCCAAGGCAGGTGCCCCGAAACCTACACTGCCCTAGGCACCGGGCCAGGGAACAAGGACAGGGCAGGCTCAGAGCAGGGCGTGGCCGCAGGGGGACCCATGGGGAGGCCGGGCCTAGGACCGGATCGAAGCCCTGGCGGGGGGGCGGAGGGGGCGGCTTTCCTTCCTCGGCCCGTTCCCGCCGCCCTCGGAAGCCCACTCGACCGCTACGGCCCGGGGCTGGGCCTACCCCCCAAGCTCCTCAGCCCGCGGAGCGACGCTGTCCGACCAGAGAGAGCGTTCGGGCCTGGGCGCGAGCACTTTAATCAGAGACTGGGCTGGGGGCACCCTCCCCCGTCCTCCCCCCTCCCGTACCCCATCCCCCCCGATCCTCCCGGCGCCCGGCTCCGGTCCAGCTCGCAGATCCGCGTCCTCGGTGTCAGGCCCAGGGCAGCAGCGTCCCGAGCCGCCCCCGGAGCGCGGCGCGCAGCGAGGCGGGCAGGAAGTGGGCGAGCAGGCCGAGCGCCGCCAGCGCCACCAGCAGCCAGAGCGCGTGCGCGCTCGTGTACAGCGGGGCCAGCCTGCGGACGGCAGCCTGAGGGCGGGGCCTGCGGAGCCCCGCCCCAGCCCCGCCCCCGAGCGCCCCCGCCCCACTCAGAGCACCCGCCCCCTAAGCCCCGCCCCGCCCCGCCCCCCAACTCGGCTCCCCAAAGGGACCCGCCTCCCGCCCGTGGGGACCCGCCGGCCGCCCTCCCGGCCTCACCTCTGCTGCGCGGAGCGCGCGTAGCCCTGGAAGTAGCGGAGGCGCGCGAACAGGTAGACCAGGCCGCACGCGGCCGCAGCACCTGGAGGCGCGGGCGGGTGAGCGCCGGGCCGGACCCCGGGCCCCAGCCGCGCGCCCCTGCCCCGCCGGGGCCCAGACCTTCGTGGCAGAAGACGCCGGCCACCCAGAGCGCGGCCAGGAACAGCGGGAAGTACTCGCTGCAGTTGACCCTGCGGAGCGCGGGGGTGAGGGCGGCGCCGCCTCCACCCGCCCCGCCGCCCCGCTCGGCCCCGCGCTCACTGCGCTCGGAAGACGCGCTCGAACTCGGGCGGGCCGGTGGTGAGCGGCGGCGACACGCGGAAGGCCCTGCGCGCCGCGATCACCTGCAGGGAGAAGTAGGCTGGGGGGCGGGGGGCGCTCAGGCCGGGCCGCAGCCTCCCGGGCCCGCCTCCCAGCGCCTCGCACCTTTCTCCTCCACTCCGTCCGCGCTACACCGAGCTCAGGGCTCCCCTTGGCCGCCCTCCGCAGGGGACCCCACCCCGTTCTTCTTGCGCTCGCCCTGTGTCCATGGCCTCAGTGGGAAGGGCAGGGTGCTGCCTGGGCACCCTGTGAGCGTGGGGGGAGGAGGTGCCAGTCACCGGGACACCTGCCATGGGCTTTCCTTCTAAATCATTTGACTTGCAAAATACAGGCAAATAGCCAGCTACCCGGCCTTGGACCTTGCCTTTTCCATACCTACATAGGGAGTGCCACCAAGGCCGCAGCTGGGCACAGGCTTTGCTGTGGGACCCTCCCTAGTGGTTCCCACAGGGAGTAAGACAGGGGTCTGAGGCACCCGCCTCGGTCTCAGTTTCTCTGTTCAGACACTCGGACCGTGGCCTAAATCTGACAGACATCCTCTCCCCTGCCTCCGGTGTGGCAGCGGGGACTCTTCCAGGCCAGCGCCAGACTCCACGGGCTCTGCCACCTTCATTCCAGCACGGGTGGGTGGGCTGTCCTCGGGGATCTGAGTGTGTGTGGGCCCTTCCTTAACCCCAGGCCAGGCCCTTACCACACACAGCCCCAGTGTGGGTGTCCCAGCTACCTTACAGCACCTCTGGGCCGGGCCCTGGGCAGACATATGCCAAAGGCATGTGTGGGTACCGAGGTGGCCATGCAAGCCCCTTGCAGGATCTGGAGGAAGCCCTGTGGCTATGAGCAGGGGCCCAAGGCCAAGCTTGCTGATGTGGCTCGAAAGGGATGGAGATGGCCTGGTCCCTCCAGGCCCTGCCCTGCTGTGCCTGTCCTGGCCCATGCGCGGTGATGTCCTAAGCAGGGGGTGCCCGGCCCAGGAATGTGTCCTCTAGGGTAAGTCAGACAGGCACCAAGGGAGCGAGTTCTAACCCTGCCCGGCTCCGGGTGACCCCGCACGGCGGGGGTGCCTCTGAAGGCGAGGCCGGGACACCCAGAGAGGCCCCTGGTTGTCCCACTTTGGACCCACCCCTCCTGGCGCACACTCAGGGCTCTCTATGCTGGTTGAGGGTCACCACCTCAGCCCTGTGGTGCCTGACGGGCCTACCCCAGTCATCCCTCAGGGCCTTTTCCCTCTCCCTGTCCTGCCAGCCTCGGTCCGTCCTCAGACACCCATCCGCCTCCCCTCTGGGAAACGACAAGCCCCTCAGCCCTGGGGCATCCCCGCCTCCGGGAGCAGGTCGGGGGCCAGACTCTGGGCTGGGGGCCCAGCTCTGGCCCTCATCTGGGCCTGGGCCCTCCAGGACCTGCAGGGCAGAAGGCCAGCTGCAGGGGTCCGAGGCCCCCCCACCTCCCAAACAGGAGCCGGCTCACCTTGCAGTAGAACCCCCAGGAGGGTAACCGTGGCCAGAAGAGCCACCTCGTCCTTCATGGCGGCGCTGGTGGCTCTGTGGGCGGCTGGTGTGTGAGGCTCCTGCACAGCTGTCAGCCCTGCCTGCGGCTGCTCAGAGGCTGGCCCCGGAGAGGAAGATGCTGGCTCTCCCCCCCTTTGCAGAGGAGGAGTGCGGGGAGGGGCGTAACTATGGCCCGAGAGGGGCAGGAGCCTGGCCACTGAGCAGGCGGAAACCAGGGTCACATGAGTCTGGGCAGAAGGGAGCAGCTGGCTGGGATGGCTTGGCCACTTCCAGTTTTTCTAGTCCCTGTGCCAAGCCCCATGCTGATGGGACTGAAGCTGTCCACCCAGGTGTGCTCCAGCCTCCGCTGTCACCATGCCATCCCCTGCCCCCCGGGCCCTGCCCCCAGCAGGTCCCGCTGGCCCTCAGACCCTCATCCTGCGCCCACTGGGCTCTGGTTTCCTAGGTCCGGCTTCCGGAAACCAAAGCTGCCACCACTTCCCATCTTAGCCCCCGGCCACACGGCCACAGCCGAGTGCTGGCTTTCTCCAGAAGCCTCTGCAGCCTGGCTCCAGTGCATGGGTGACGGGGGGGGGGGGGGGGGGGGGGGGGCGGCCTGGCTGGCCTGGCAGGTGGCTTAGCCGCTCAGGACGGCCGAACTCGTCCTCTCAGGGTCTCTGACCCCAAGCGGTCGCTGCTGTTTCTGCCTGCTCAGCAGCCCTCCTTCCTGAGACCCTGTCTCCGCACCTCGTCCTGTGGTCCGGGCAGAGCTGCCCCCACTCTCCTGAGACCTATGGGAAGGACACGGGAGCCAAAACCGGCCGTAGAGCCAAGATGGTGAGACGCAGCTCTAGTAGCTTCCTTAGAACTGAGAGTTCGGAGTGAGGAGGGAGGTTGCTGAAGGCCACTGATGGAGCCGGAGGAGGATGGAGCCCCTCAGGGCCACCATGACGGAGAGGGGGCTCGTCCTGGCACCCTGAGGCCACCTGGACAGGCCGCCTGGCGGTCAGAACCGCTTCTCCTTAGGCTTACACTGCTGGGAAGTGGTTTTGGCCAGCGGTGGCAGCATCAGACGGACACACAGCACAGGCAGGAGCCGGGGAGGCCTCAGCGCGCACTGGCCAGGCTGTGGGAGGGACCGGGCGGGCAGCTGGGTCTCTGAGCTGCTGCAGCAGCAGGTCCTGCCGCCAGGACGACCTGGCACCCCTCAGCCTCCACACCTTGCACCCACCTGGCCTCCTTTCTCGCTGCCCCACGCCCACGTTCCAGCCTGAGGTTTCCCAAGAACCCTTTACACTCATTCCCTGGCCACACCAACCAGCCATTCTGGCCCTCCCTGCCACCCAGCCAGCTCCCCAGACATCGAGGGCCTCCCAGTCCGTGTGCGCTGTGGACGAGGCCTGACCCACAGGAGCTCAGTGACAGGGCGGGCTGATAGGTGCTTAGGAACAAAGGAGAGCTCCAGGGACGGGATGCCAGACGTGCCCTGTGGCTACCATATTTCCATTATGTAAACTAAGAAATTAGCATTAATATACTATTACCGGGCCTCTTCCTCCCTGAAACTGGCCCTGACGGTAGGACTGCTGGTGGGCTGCTGTGCCCCGCGGAGTCCGTGCGGCCTGTCGCTCCGCTGGGTGCACGTCTGTGTCTCGGGTCCCGGTGCGCAGGGCTGTATCACAGCTCATCTGCGGCCTGGGTGTTTCTGGGTTCCTGCAGGTGCCAGGCCTCTTCCCTGCCAAGCTCTTGTTTCCTCTGAGGCTGCCTCCTCCCTTCGGAGCTAACCCCCTTCTGCCTTGGCAGCAGGAAGCAGACTAAGGTCAGCGTTTCTGAGGAAATCCCTGGTCCTGGCCCCTGGAGCCCTCCCCACGCCCTTGGTCCAGCTTGCCCAGCCTCCCAGGCCTGGGCTGAGACTGCCCAAGGCCCTCCAGACACCGCCCTCCGCCCCCCACCCTCCTGTCCAGCCCTGGAGCTGCCAGCTTCACGAGGGAAGTGAAAAAGCCCCTCCCTGACCTCAGTGCTAAAGCCCTACATGGCCCTGAGGAACCTTCTGGAAGCTGAGCTCACCAAGGACCTTTTGGGGAATGGAAAGGCCAGCAGAACCATTATGTTGAAAATAAATCATAACTTGGATATGATAGACCACAAGCATTGCATAACTCAACCCCAACTAAAAAAAAACAACACATTTATTTTAAATTATTTTCCTTCAAAAAGTTGCAAAAGTAGTTTAGTTGTCACGTACCCTTCATCCAGCTTCCTCTAAGATTAAAATCTTATGTAACCATATTTCCATTATGTAAACTAAGAAATTAGCATTAATATACTATTACCAGCCATTTTACAGATCTTGTTCAAGTATCACCAATTGTCCACTAAATTACAATAGTACAAAGACCTCAAAAGCATGCTAAGTGTGCAAGACACAAAAGACCACATGTCCTGCCCTAACCGGTTTGGCTAGGTGGATAGAGCGTTAGTCTGCCAACTGAAGAAAGGTCCCAGGTTCGATTCCAGTCAAGGGCATGTACCTTGATTGAGGGCACATTCCCAGTAGGAGGTGTGCAGGAGGCAACTGATTGATGTTTCTCTCTCATCGATGTTTCTAACTCTCTACCCCTCTCCCTTTTCTATAAAAAATCAATAAAATATATATATTTTAAAAACATACCACATGTCCTATGATTCCCTCTATAGAAATTCCAGAAACGGTAAAGCAATAGAGACAGAAAACAGGTCAGTGGCAGCCTGGGCTGTGTGTGAGAGCTCTGATTGTGATGATGAGAATGTTCTAGAGCTGATTTGTAGTGATGTTTGCACAACTCAGTAAATTTACTAAATAATTTTTGAATTTATTGAATGTTTACACTTACAATGGGCAGATTTTATGGTATGTAAGTTTTCCTATATAATAAAAGCCTAATATGCTAAGTGTCTAGTCATCTGGTCATCTGTTCAACCAATCAAAGCATGATATGCTAATGATATGCTAAAGCCACTCAACTGCTTTCTATGACATGCACTGACCACCAGGAGGCAGTCGACCAGTTGCTATGACATGCACTGACCACCAGGGGGCAGATGCTCTGACTGGTAGGTTAGCTTGCTGCTGGGGTCCAGCAGATCAGGAATGAGTGAGATGGGCCACACATGTCCTGGAGCCTTCCCACAGTTCCTCCCCAGCTGGCCAATCTCCTACATCCCTCCCCAGCTCCAATCATGCACCGGTGGGGTTCCTTGGCTCTCTCACAATCTGGGACCCCTCTGGGGATGTCAGAGAACTGGTTTCAGCCCAATCCTGCAGGCCAGACCGGGCCTCTAATATCTCAATAAAGTTGTTTTAAAAATAGTACAAAGGTACAACTAAATAAAAGGAAGATGAATGATCCAATTAAAAAATGGGCAATGGACCTAAATAGAATATTTTCAAAAGAAGACAGAAGGAAGGCCAAAAGACACATGAAAATATGCTCAAAGTCACTAATTGTCCGAGAGGTGCAAATCAAAACAACAATGTGGTACCATCTCACACCTGTCAGAATGGCCAACATCAACAAATCAACAAACGACAAATGTTGGCGAGGTTGCGGAGAAAAAGGAACCCTCGTGCACTGCTGGTGGGAATGCAGACTGGTGCAACCACTGTGGAGAACAGTGTGGAGTTTCCTCAAAAAACTGAAAATGGAACTCCCATTTGACCCAGTAATCCCACTCCTAGGAATATATCCCAAGAAACTAGAAACACCAATCAGAAAGGATATTTGCACCCCTATGTTCATAGCAGCACAATCTACAATAGCCAGAATTTGGAAACAGCCTAGGTGCCCGTCAGCAGATGATTGGATCCAAAAACTGTGGTATATCTACACAATGGAATACTATGCTGCCATAAAAAAGAAGGAATTCTCATCATTTGCAGCAACCTGGATGGTGGAGAACATCATGCTGAGTGAAATAAGCCAGTCAATGAAAGAGAGACACCACATGACCTCACTCATTTGTGGATGATAAAGAACATTATAAACTGATGAACCAAGAGACAGATATAGAGACAGTAAAGCAACAGGCAGACTGTCAGATTACAGCGGGGAGGGGAGGAAGATCTGGGGGAGATAATAGATCAACCAAAGGACTTGTGTACATGTATATAAGTACAACCAATGGACATAAAACTCTGGGGAGGGAGAGTGTGTATGGGAGGGAGGGGGGCAAAAAAAAATTTAAAATAAATAAAATAAAATAAAAATAAAAATAGTACAAAGGCCCTTACCAGTCTGGCTCAGTGGATAAAGCGTCAGCCTGTGGACTGAAGGATCCCAGGGTTGATTCCGGTCAAGGGCATGTACCTTGGTTGTGGGCACATTCCCAGTAGGAGGTGTGCAGGAGGCAGCTGATCGATGTTTCTCTCCCATCGATGTTTCTAACTCTATCTCTCTCCCTTCCTCTCTGTAAAAAATCAATTAAATATAGTTTTAAAATAAATAAACAAAAATAGTACAAAGACTGCTTGTATATCCTTCCATGGCTTCTACAACTGTTGTTATCATGTTATGTAACCCTAGAGGCCCGGTGCACGAAATTCATGCATTGGAGGGGGATGTCCCTCAGCCTGCACCTTCTCATCTGGGACCCCTCCGGGAATTTTTGACTGCTGGATTTCTGGTCCCTAGGATTGGGCATAAACCAACTGTCAGACATCCCTCTTACAATCTGGGACTGCTGGCTCCCAACCCCTCTCCTGCCTGCCAGCCTGATCACCCCCTAACCTCTCCCCTGCCGGCCTGATCTCCCACAACTGCCCTCCCCTGCCAGCCTGGTCCCCCATAACTTCCCTCCCCTGCAGGCCTGGTTGCTCCCAACTGCCCTCTGCTGCAGGCCTGGTCCCCCACAACTGCCCTCCCCTGCCAGCCTGGTTGCCTCTAACTGCCCTTCCCTGTAGGCCTGGTCCATTTTGGGGTTCTCTATTCTGTCCCATTAATAAACAAATTGTCTGTGTTGCCAGTACCACACTATATCTATCTTTTGGTTCTTCAGTTTATAATGTTCGTTATCATCCAAATAGTAAGTCTTAAAGTCAGGTAGCAATAACCCTCCAACTTTGTTCCTCTCTTTCAATGTTGTATTGAGTTGGCTATTCTGGGTCTTTTGCTTCTCCATAGAAACTTTAGAATCAGTTTGTTTATGTCCCCAAAATAATTTGCAGAGATTTTTTTAAACTGGAATTACATTGAATCTATAGATTAACTTGGGAAGAACTAACATCTTGATAATAGTCTTTCTATCTATGAACATGGAATGTCTCTCCATTTATTTAGTTCTTAGATTTCTTTTATTAAAGTTTGAGTGTAGCTTTTTAGTAAGTTTTGAAACCAGTAATTCTGAGT